ATATGCATACACTTATACACATACACACACACACACACACACACACACACACACACATGCATACACTTATACACATATACACACACACACACACACACACACACATGCATACACTTATACACATATACACACACACACACACACACACACACACAACACACACATATACATACACTTATACACATATACACACACACACACACACACACACACACACACACACACATGAATAAACTCTTGAGTGTGTCTTCTCTCTCTGTCAGAGGCAGAAGCTGCTGTTGGTGCTGCAGGACGTCACTCTTACCCTGATGGACCAGGCTGACCACACCCCCCTGCACTCTCAGCCAATCAGCTGCATCTGTGTGTGGGGAGTGGGGCGTGGCCTCAGCAGGTAAGAGACGCTCTCTGTAGATCTTAATGATGCTTGGTTGAACTGTAATGTTTCTAGATTTACAGTAAGAGTGTGTCTGATGCTCATCTGCTGCACATGGGTTTGGGTGTGTGTGTATGTCGAGGTCTGAATTATTCGCCCTCCTGTTAAAGTTTAGTTATTTTATATTTTTTCATGTATCCAGTATATATATGTGTTGAGGTAAAGTGCAGAGGATTACTGAATGCATTTCACCATTTGTTCTGGTGATTTTCTGCACGCTATTTAAGCTTTGCATTGATCAAGTTACAGTTGCATTTCTGAAGCATTCTGAAGCGCGAGCTTTATAAGATTATTTTAGATTCTTCCTGTGTGCATAAATAATATTGTGGGCTGCAGTGCATTGCGGGATGCGGCTTGCTGGAATAGATCTAGTGTGGTAGTCCTGTGCTTTTCTGCACATTTAGCCTCGGGAGTGTTAGTATGAGCAGTATGCAGTGTGTGTGTGTGTGTGTGTGTGTGTGTGTGTGTGTGTGTTCAGCTGATGAATGAATGCGTTCAGCTCTTCATTTCTCATTTCTGGAGTCTCCTGAGGGTCATCAAACCTTTACTGCCTCTTTCTGAGTGTTGATGCTGAAGACGTGTTCAAGACACTGCAGAGACTCATCAGTGTGTGTGTGTGTGTGTTTGTGTGTAAGTTGTAGTTGTAAGCTTAAAAACACATTAAAAAAGCTAAAAATAATAAATTTTGGTAATGTGCGAATGCTTTTATTTTAAGCTGATACACGTTCCATGTGCTATAATTATTACAACTGACCAAAAAATTGACAGAAATCTGACCCACACATAATTATAAACACTGGTTGCTTTAATATGCATTTGTTCTGATCAAACTGCTGGATGTGAGTCTGTTAATTTGTAATATATTTATAAGATGATTAAAAATTAAAATGCCCTTTTAAAGTCACGATATAGCTGTATTTTAGTGCTGTATCTCTGTTTATCCTGCTGGGGTGTTGCTGCAGTAGCGACGCTGGCCAGCAGGTGGTGCAGCAGACCGGGATTCCGCAGGAAAACACCAGCAGGGTGTTCACCATATCAGCATTTCCAGCTCTTTTATTGTAATAAACTATCATCTTTCATGAGCTAGCTTTCATTGTTTGCTTAAAAAACATCTGCGAAGTAATTAAAACTGAATTGAAATTGCAGTGCTGTACGATATTACTTCGGTATAATCAATCAGTTGCTTTATTTATGATTATGATTACTGCACAATAATAATTCTAAAAGGAAGTATTATAATGTAAAATTAAAACAATGTACAGGTTTTCGGAGTTGGTCAAACCCTTTATAGGGCACTCATTGAAATACCCCTCTGAAATAACCTGACTTTTGTATTTGTATTGCTTTAAAACACACATTGTAATGAATGTAAATGAAGTTCTCAGCACGACTAAGGGTTACAATTACATTGTAAAACCTTTTAAGCTAGTAAAATTAACAGTAAAACAAGTTTTGGAACTCATTGAAAAACTCCTCTGAAAAAAAACAGACTTTTGTATGTTTATTGCTTAGAAATACATATTGTATGTAAATGAAGTGACCATGGTTCTCCACTCAGCTAAGGGTTAAAATTACATCTTAAAAGCTGTTAAGCTTGTAAACCTCAAATAGGACAAAGTTTTAAAATTGTTTAACCCTTTATAGTAAATTCTCCTCTGAAAAACCCTGACTTTTGTACTTTATTTACATTACTTACAATATGCACTAAGTCATTAAAGTACAAAAGTCAGGGTTTTTTAGAGTATTTCAATGAGTACTATATAAAGAGTTGAAAAGAAAAATCCAAAACTTGTTCCTTATATTATTTTCACAGGCTTAACAGGTATTACAATATAGCTTTAACCCTTAGCCAGATGGAGAACCATATATGATAACTTTATTTAAATTACTTACAATATACATTAAGTCGTTAAAGTGACCATATATGGTTCTCCACCTGACTAAGGGTTAAAATTATATCTTAAAACCTGTTAATCTGGTACAATAAAGAAATGAAGTTTTATAACTCTTTATAGGGCACTCATTGAAATGCTTCTCTGAAACAACCCTGACTTCTCTATTTCTATAACTCAAAAATACATATTGTATGGTTTTTTTCACACCACTAAGCGTTAAAATTATGTCTTAAAACCTGTTAAGCTTGTACAAGTACATTAAGGACCGGGTTTTAGATTTTTAACCCTTTATAGGGCACTCATTAAAATACTTATTTGAAAATCGCAAACTTTTGAGTTAAAATATACATTATATGTAAATGAAGTGACCATATATGGTTCTCTACATGACTTAGGGTTAAAACTATATTGGTTTCGACCTATGCCTAACTATGCCTTTTAAGGTTGTAAAATTAATATAAGCAACAAGTTTTTTAACCCTTTATATGGTAGTCATAGAAATACCCCTCTGAAAAACTCAACTTTTTGTATTTTTATGACTTAAAAGTGCATATTAATGTAACTGAAGTGACCATATATGGTTCTCCACTTGACTAAGGGTAGCTAATAAGTATTTCTTAAAAGCTGTTAAGCTTGTAAGATTAAAATAAGGACCAGGTTTTGGATATTTTAACCCTTTATGAGGCACGCATACTCTGAAACAACCCAGACTTTTGTATTTTTTATAACTCAAAAATACATATTTTATGGTTTTCCATTTGATTAAGTGTTAAAATTATGACATAAAACCTGTTAAGCTTGTAAGATTAAAATAAGGACCAAGTTTTGCATTTATTTAACCCTTTATAAGGCACTCATTAAAATGCTTCTCTAAAAACTCTGAATTTTGTACTTTAATGACTTACAAATACATATTGTAATTAATGTAAATGAAGTGACCATATATTTCCACCTGACCAAGGGTTCAAATTACATTTTAAAACCTTTTAAGCTTGTAAAAGTAAAACAAGGAGCAGGTTTTGGAATTGTTTAACCCTTTATAGGAAATACTCCTCTGAGAAACCCAGAATTTTGTGTTTTTATGACTTCAAAATAATACATGTTGTAATTAATGTAAAGGGTTAAAATTATATCTTAAAACCTCTTAAGCTTGTAAAAATAAAATAAGAGTCAAGTTTTGGAGTTGGTTGTCCCTCTATATGGCACTTGTAGTAATACCCCTCTAAAAACTCGGACTTTATTTTTATGACTGAATAGATATTATAATTAAAATAATAAATGACGTGACCATATATGGTTTTCCACACATCTAAGGGTTAAAATTACATCTTAAAACCTGTTTCAGCTAACATGTGTGAGAAAGAGAGATTGAGAAAGGAAAACAAATGAGGCAAAGCAGCTAGACAGTAAACCTGATCAGAAAGGAAAAGGACTGTGTTTCTTTCCTATGCTTTTAGAGAAACATCACACGCACACACACACACACACACACACACACACACACGCACACACACACACACACACACACACACACCATGTAGATGGGTTTACATAACTACAAATGGGGACAACTTTGTCTCCAGAAATTAACTTTTTCTGACCTCCTGTTGAGGTTAACACATCTTGCAGCATAATAAATTGAAAATAAAAACAATGAGAGATTCCATATTTAGATACAATATTAAAATAGCAACTATGCACGTACAATGTATGCATATGCACACATAAAACGATAACATATACAATACCCTCAACCTTAAGATCAAGATTTTAACAAATAGCAAGTACAAAAAGATACTAAACTCACAATTTAACAGGTCTTCTTCTAAAACCAAAGAAAAACTGAGGTTGAGTTTGACAGCAACCTTTCTTTCTAAAACCTCCTTTTAGAAATTGTATGAACACGAGGACTCACAGAATTATAGCTTGGACTTCGATCTTTGCAGAGAAGTATTTTACAAAATGTCAATT